CGTGTCCCTGGTAAGAGTAAAGCCTAATTGCTAGCCAGCTACTGTTTTGCTTAGCGAGATTTTTGTATTGCAATCAGATATAGAGAAAAAGCTAGCAGGTGAGATTCACATTCAACGTTTTCAGCTCTTGACCTCACAAATGTCACGCCACTTTTCTTCTATACATTCCCCTTTACCTATGGAGCTTTATAAAGAAAGTGGTAAAACAAACAAAATAAACAAAAAGACTTCATTCGCATTCGGCGTCTGCCTTCTGTCTCACACATATTAAATTTCACAAAACAGAAAGAAACAATAGAGCTTATTAAGAAAAACTTGTTCGGAATGGCAAATTAAGCATAACGGAAACACACACGTTTTTACAAGTACGTGGCTCTTTTCACCAATTGAACATTTATAACAATTATGAAAGTATATATTTGTCTCTGCAAAATGTTTCCGTTTTAGTTCACTTTCACCATATCACCCTGTTACATAAATCTGTAATTCGGTCAGTTTTCAGAATCCCTTCTAAATCAGAGCACTCTTCGCCTTTATTTTCTGGGCAGATATTAACCAAACAAGTGTAATCACTGCTCGTTGATTTTCTTTCCCAGTGAAATAGCGGGGGAGACGCAATGCACTTCTGTAGGTACAGGTTAGTCCCCACTGAACATTCTTATGGAAGAAGTGATTAATATGATAGCCAGGGTGGAACCCACAGTCTCAGCATTCCTCCTCACGGCCAATATGTGTATCATATGATGATGTATATGTTAAACAATCTTGGAAAATTATGTCAAAGGAAGCAACAGCCCAATAAGCCATATGTTCAGGGAACTTAACCGGTTTCCACTAGGGATCAAATATCAGTTCATCTTTGTCTCCTTATGTGCAAATATTAAAAAAAAATCTCATGTAGATAAAATATAAAGAGAGCCGAGACTGCATCCCCCATCGCTAGATTAAGAAACAGAGATGGACAATCTGCTACTTAGCAAAGGGCACAAAGGTTAACATGAATGTCTCCTCCTATTTGTGTTTCCAAGAGGTCAGTATTATTTACATATACAAAACTGTGCACCTAGAGTTTTTAACATTTCTAAAAAATGTTAAGAAATCTAATGCTGAGCATCGCGAGGTACTAGACTTCTCCGCACCCTGGGTATTGTAGCGATCTGGGGAATTGTTTTTTGCAGCCTGGGATGTCAGAAAGCCACAGACGCATGAAAATCTCACCATCTGTATGCTCATGGAAATTCTCATCAAATAGTCTCAAATACAGGCTTAGCATAATTTAAAAAAACCAATAACTAGTTATATGCATATCTGAAAACAATTAAAAAGCTATCGAAAGTAGTGTTCAACCTGGATTAGCAGGGTCTTCATCGCAGGCCTAAAACTAGCACTTTTCTTTGTTTGCTTAACCTCCAAATCCCCTGGTAAGGCACACCAAAATGATTTTAAATATCGCTTGTAAACGAGAGGTTTAAACTAAACCGAGATGTGTGGCTAGTGGATATCGGTAAACCACCCTAGTCTTAGGAAAGGGGTGGTGGGCTGACTTTGGGATTAACTAGTATTCTGAACAAAATCCTCCTGTACGTATTTCTCCTGCCTATTCCAGAGAACAAGGGATGTGTATTATTAGGAACCACCTTCTCCCTCTTAATGCAGAAATTACATTGTTCATATAAACTCCTGCAAGTAATACAGCATCAATATGTTATTCCCTTAACATAAAAACACCCAGTTTGTGTAAATCTGTAATAAATAATATTTTAATGTTAAGGAGAAGTGTATAGTAATCAAAATCTTTAGGGGCAGGATGGAATAGAAACTGAGAAATATTTGACAGTAAACAATCCAACGCTCATTCTTCTGCCTCACACTAGGAATATGGCGCATTTAGCTGTATTAGGGCTGCAGATGCTATCGCACTAGGAGCTGTCTTAGTGAACTCCAGGGGTGTTGGAAGTGGGGGGCAGTGAGCAAGGGCCGAGCAGGGCCTGGGCAGACAGCGAGTCTTCCCTCCCCGCCAGGAGTGGGGTGGGCTGCTCTCCGCGCAGGGACGCGGTGCGCGCATGTAAAGCAATGTAGAAGCGGGCACCTTCTACAGCACCTTTTCTCCCACTCGAAGGCCAGCTCCCTTTGTGCCTCCTCGCAGCCAGCACGCTGGACCAGCATGTGCCGCGCTTCAGGCTTGCAAGGCCAAGCGGTCTGCAAGGCACGAGGCTGGGCTCAAGGAGAGCCGGGGCAGGCTGCTGATCTGCCAGAGCCTACCAGCGAGACAGCAGGGACCCCCCGGGTAGGGCGCTGCAGAGGCTGGAGCCCTAGTAACAGGGCGCAGCCGTGCGCTTCTCCCGCCTGGGCGCCCCCACTGTGGGTACCTCTTCTCGGATTCCTCGGCTCGCTACACTGCCGGGAACTAAGGAGTCCAGCCTATCCCGGGGCTGGGAGGGGAGCGGGCATTGCCGTGTGAGGAACCCCCAGGGTTTGTGCACGTTGCCCGGGACCCCCGCCCGGGGGCTGCCCTATGAAGGCCGGGCCAGCGGGAGCTGGGTGCCCCCCGGGGTCGGGCCGGGTTCCAGCCTATACACAGGGCGCGCGCGTTGTGTGGTTGCGGAGGGCCCTGGGCTTGCCATGCGGCGGGCGGGAAGGAGGGATCGCGGCAGGCGGGCGGAGGGAGGAAGGAGGCCGGGCTGATTAGCATGCAGAAGCGCTCGCAAGCCCGGCTCCATTGTTTTAACACCTCCCCTCTCCTCCGCGCCAATCTGTCACCGTTCAGCAGGCGAACGCTGCTGCCTCGAATGCTGCTCTTCTCAAATGAGACGGATAATTAGCTGCCCCGCACGAATGGCGCACTCTTCTCACCCCTGATTGCTATCACCTTCTTGCTCCTGGCAGTTTTGACACCTCGTAATCAGCCTGCTGCTTTTTCTCTTTTCTTTCCCTATTTCTGATTTTTTTCTCTCCCCCTTCTTTCAGTTTTTTTAATGCAATCCCAGTTGCCATTTGGATTGAAACTCCTCTGCTGAGTTAACCTTGTGCGGTTGCGGGGGAAAGGAGGATGTTCGGCAGGGAGGGAAAGAGACAGAGCTTCCTCTGAGCCCCAGCTGCTGAGCTCACCAGGGGTGGGAGAGAGGAATAGCTTCGTTTGAGCCTCCAGTGCCCTTTTCTACTGAGGGAATAGCTTCCCCCAGCCTCCTCTCAATTCACCGTATTGTGTGTGTGTGTGTTGGGGGCGGGGGTACTTGGAGTGCCACACCGGCTCAATTAAGGGAGGGGGGAAATTGCATTGCCGCAGTTTACTTACGCTTGGGGTATGGGAAGGGGAGTTTAAAAGTCCAATGGCCATTTGGAGACTCTCTTCTGCTGGGAGGGGGAAAGAATTTAGCTTCATCTGAGACTCCTCGAATGAGGTGACATATATCCGCGGGGGGGGGGGGGGACACAGCTCCCACTGGAGTATGGCAGAGGGGACTGATTCCAGAGAGGTAAGAGACCTCAATTAATGCCCTGACTCTCTTAGCCATCACACAGAGGAGGACTCGTAGGATCTGTCACAGGAGTGTTTTCCTCTCCTCTAACGAGCACTGACATGACAGGCGAATTACTGGAGCTACACGCAGCTGTCGAGGTAGCAGCCAGACAGAGGAGCTACATGTGTGCTACCGGGCCGCCAGCACCAGGCATTAGGATGAGCCAGTGAAGATCTTAGTGGATCTGACCCCCAACCAGGCAGAGTGTTTGCTTTGCCTATGCCGAGAGGTCTCCCCTACACCAACGCTACCCCCAGGGGAGACCTCTCGGCATAGGCAGAGGAAACACCCTGCCTGGTTGGGGGTCAGATCCACTAAGATCTTCACTGGCTGCTAGCTCTGAGCATGTGTGTTCGTTGCCACCTACTGCCCTCACTGGGGACAGAGGACTGCAAGTGAGGCAGCAGTGGAGGCTTGTAAACCTCTGCAGCGCAGGACTGGCGGGGACTCGGCTAACGCCACTAGCCCGAGAGAAGAGTGGGGAGGATGGGAGGGAGTAGAGAGAGGGAGGAAAGCAGCCGAATACCTTGGCACGAACCTGCTGCTCCTGCCCTAATTCTGCTTCCTTCCTCCCACCCGTGATGGGTTCTTAATGCACTTCCCATGCGGACTCAGCCTCCGCTGCTGCGTTAAGCTTGTGTAGGGGAGGGGGGAGGAGAAATCGCTGCAACTGAACCTGCTCTGGAGATGAGCGTAGTAAAGCAGATGTCCGTGAGCCGCAGCACAGCCGCCGCCTCCTCCTCCAGGAGAGCAGCAGGAGAGCGGCGCCCTCACCTCCCACTGCTCCAAGCGGCTCACAGCTGGCCAGGGGGTGCTTTGGGGGGTGGGGTTTTAAATAGATTCTTGCACCCCTTGCTGTGGTCCGGGCACAGGGAACTGCCCTGGACGTGGCGCCCCCTCAGGCGCTCACCAGGCCGGAGTGTTTGAAATGCAGAGACTTAACTCTCTTCGGCGTCAGGTCCCTGGGGCTGATGGATTTGGACTCCCCATCTTTGGCTTCTTCCTCTCCCCCCTCCCCGTGCTCCCGGGGAAGGGAGGGGGCGTTTCTAGGTCTACCACCCCTGTTGTGCAAAGAGGAGAGCTCTGGCCCCTGGGCGGACACTCTTCGGCTCGGAGCAGGAGAGCCGGAGGGGAAAAACGCAGGCACGCGCAAAAAAGGTGGCAGGGATTAAAAAGGTAAATCGCGGTTTGCTCAGCTCTTGCCAATGTGAGCTGCGGGTCTTGCTTTTTACGGGTCAGAGGACAAGGCAGTTGTGTGGCGGCTCTTTTGGAGTGCGATTCCCTATCCCCCTCCACATTTCCCCCCACACCAAGTACCACCCTCAACAGCGCTCACCTCCCAGCGATAACAGGGAAGGGAACTTCACACACCCCATTGCGCCCAAAGACGTGCCTCCCTCAGACCTTTCCACCCACGGAGCTATGTAGGAAAAGGGGTTTTAACGCTATTATAGTAACAAACGCACTCTCCAGGTCACATTAACAGACAAGCACTGTACCCTGCACTTTATTACAGTACATTATCAGCCAACAGCTAGTCACATACACAGCAGGCACTTAAAACTACAGTAAACAGTTGTAGAAAAATGTTTAGTGTAGGAGTATTCTCCAGTTGACTTAAAAATCCACTTCTAAAAATGATGCAAGATTTATATTTCCCTTTATCTTTGTAAAATGGTTACCATCACCCAATAAATCTTTGAACAGAGAGAAGTTAGCGCCATGCTTACCTGTAGCTACAGAAAATATATTAATGCTAATTACGACTTAGGTCTGGACTGGAACTGTCCAGTCAAAGTGCAGAAGGCTCTCCTGGAAGAGATCATTGCACATCAACTGTTTAAAAACAAAATGCAAGCTAGCTGATCTAACATTCATAAAATTCACACACAGCCATCAAAATTTAAATTGTAGTTTAAAAGTGATTTCTAGTTTAAGAGAGACATGTATTTTGGTCTGAAGACTTGTGTTCATTTTTAAAAAAAAAAAAAATCCCTAGAGTTTGAGTAACATCCAGTAGGGAACCACAAGAAATGCTAAATTATCTTTTGAACTTCTAGTTTTAGGGGGAAGTGTAAGCTGGTTCATCTCATCTTCTCTGTATATAGGGTGACTAGATAGAAAGTGTAAAAAATCGGGACGGGGGTGGGGGGTAATAGGTGCCTATATAAGAAAAAGCCCCCAAAATCAGGACTGTCCCTATAAAATCAGGACATCTAGTCACCCTATCTGTATGTAAAAACACGTATCAGCTCCCACAGAGGAATAATTATTTTCCATGAATTATGAATGCTAATATACATTAACAATTTAATAGTGCACTTCTGCCAAAGATACATACCATTGCAATCTTCATTTTAGCCAGAGAGTGAGTATTGTTTTGTTTCTGAGACAAATCTGTTTACTAAAACAGTTTTACAGTGGATTACGCTGATCTCTGCCAATGATGTAAGAAACAAAAGACATAAATGTATCTTAACTATGACATACCTGTTACTTGGCTGCTCTAGTGATTTTACAAGAACCTTATCTACAATATAAATACAACACTGAACTTGTCTTAAGTAAAATTTGGAGATTCCTCCCTAGCCCTTCAAATGTTCTTAGGGCCTGTTCCTGCTCCTATTTACTACAATGAGTAAATAGGAGGAAAAATTGATAGGATTGCTCACACTTTATCGCCTCAAATTAAAGGCCCAGTTCTGCAAACGTTTACTCATGCAAGTAGTCCTTACTCACACAAGTAGTCAATTATTGTGGGACTACTCAGGTGAAGATAACTTGTGTAAGAAAAGGTTTGTAGGATCAGGCCTAAAGCTCATATTGCAACATGACATACTGAAGTGAAACTGAATTACAGTTTTCTACTGGGTAATTTAAATGTGTAAAATTTGAAATGAACTTAACTGAAAAACAGTTTCAGTAACATTATGAACATAGTCTTAATTCTGAAATTAACATACACACTTGAATTAAAAATGAAATATACACAAAAGCGCAACCCAGTATCTCTACAAAGCCTTATTCAGCTTGCTTCCGGATACATTGATTGTTCTTTAAAGTGTGAATTAAGATGCCTGAGAAAATCCCCCCTGGATGTAGTAGATGGTGGGAAAACTTTTTGACAGAATTCACATATTCCAGACTGCTTCAGTTCTGAGTCTGTATAACCCTGTGCCAGTAAGTTATTATCTTGAGTTTGAGATGGCTTCCAGAAGGGCTGAAAAAGGCAAAAAAAATTATTACTACTTGTGCTTAAAATGAATACAGTTCTAAATATAAAAGTTACCAGCATTTGTTTTGCACTAGTTAGAGTTTGTATATACTTGATATATCAAACAACAAAAATGGCATTTCTGGTTCTCATTACATTAAAAATCAAGAAAAGACTTCACATTTCAGCAAAGTAAAAGAATCTGAAGGAAACTAAACATTTATACATTTACATCTGCAAACACTTTGTCAAATACAAGAATATAAGTCAGATTTTAAAACTCTTGATAATCAACTAAAGCTTCCTTTGTCAACAATGTCAGTGTAATAAATACTAAGGCTTTTTATGGACTCTTCAAATATTTCACTGTAGGAAAACTAAGCCATGGCATTTGTAGTCTCTGTACTGAGATACTGTATAAACATTCCTGCAAAGATAATATTGCCCTTTTTAGAAAATAAGCAATATACATTTTACATTCCCCCTATTGGTACATATCTAGTTTTCAATTTAATCAGAAAGCAATCTCCCTGGCAATATAGGGTAGCTTATAATTTTACCTCTATTATCTGTTGCTAATATTACAGTAATGAAATTAAATTAATCCTTAACCTTCCTTTGCAATCCTGATTTCTTCATTACAAAGACTGTGTGGCCTGAGGTGTCTGAGTCTCTGCTTCTTCTTCCTACTTGGCATCAAGTTATAAGCCAAAGTGCACTCAAACTGAATGGCAGCAAGTAAGTGACAGGAGGGGACACAGCACAGGAGAGATCTCTACAGTCTTTTTGCAGCAGACCTTTTCACTATAACCTCACGTATGCACAGAAGGGAAAGAGTATGTTGGCAGTAGAAAGGCAAGCAGTTTCTCTTGAAGTTAAGTCTCTTGCTGTCCATCCCCATAAAAGAGCTTCAATTCTCATGTTCCCAAACTTTGCCACGCTAAAAAGCAGGTGCTTAATCCTCCAGTGGCAACGAACTGTGCTACCAACCTGGCTTTCACAGTGGTTAATTCTTATTTGTAAACCAGATGCAGTTTCTTTTAGGAGTTAATTCACTTCCTAAACAATGTTTAGCATTTCAGGGGGCTGTTGTTCATTAGTAATTAAGTGTAATTAAATCACTTCCTTCTGCAATACAATCTACGGCTTGTAGATAGTGGGCAGTTGATGTAAATTGCATATGAAATCTGTCTAGACACTAACATACTTTTAAATATTCCTACAGAAGTGTGTTTGTGGTTACTGACTTGCAACCACCTTGAATAAACTGGCATTTTTAATAACCATATAAAGAGGCCTGATATTTAAAGAGACAAAAAGGTTCTTGTAAAATTTGCTGAAATGTATTGGGGACAAAGTAAGGTTCTAATTTTACAAACTGTAACTAGTTTCAGAGTAGCAGCCGTGTTAGTGTGTATCCGCAAAAATAACAGGAGTACTTGTGGCACCTTAGAGACTAACAAATTTATTAGAGCATAAGCTTTCGTGGGCTACAACCCACTTCTTCGGATGCATATAGAGTAACTACTAGACTCAAGTACCAATCCCTCAAAGCACTTAAATACCACAGACTTCTTGGGGACTTAAGCACATACTTAAGTGCTTCCCTGAATAGGGATAGAATTAAGGAGACGCTTAAGCATTGTGCTGAATTGGGACCTTAAGCATCTATTTAACTATCTTCAAGCAATAGTAATCCCATTACAGTCAAAGGACTATTCATGTGCTTAAAGTTATGCATTTTAAATGGTTTTCTGAATTGTGGCCTCGCTAGGGTTGGCAGTCCCACTAAATAAAGTACTGCATCAATAATTAATATTTTCAGAATCAGACCTTAAAGTTGTAAATGTGTGCACATATGTACAGTTAACTATAAATCAGTAAAGTCTTAGGTCCAGTAAGATGCATGTTTATTTTAATCTGCTACATGTTTCAATCACATTGTTTTCAAAGAGGTACTAGATCCTAACAGGGCCACCCAGATGGAGCAAGGAGGGAAGAGGAAAAGGGGCAGTGAGCCCCTAAACTGAGTGGCATTGTGACCAGCTGCATGGGGTTGCAGTGCCATTCAGGTTTGGCACTGTGACCCTGTGTAGCAGCTCACAATGCCCAGAGTGGGTAGTGTGGCCTAGCCCCGCAGGACAGGAGCCACTTCTATGCAGTAAGTGTGGGGTAGGCTCACTCTCCACACCCAACCCTTGCAGCCTCCCCTCGGTGTTTTTAAACCCTTTTTTTGGGTGGGGGGACGACTCTGTTTCAGATTTTGTCCCAGGCCTCCAAAAATCTCTGTGCCACCCTGTATTCTAAGGAAACAGCACTGAGTTTTCCATTTAATAACCAAAAAGCAGGAAAGAGCTACATTTACCACAAACTGAGAGCAGCAGCTCCAAAGGTTCATTGTTGCCAAATATGTTGTATTTTAAGGGGCTGTTCCATCTTATAAGTTAACATATGTAGTAAATATGACAAAGTCCTAGTCTACACTAGGGAAAAAAAATCATCATGTAATTCACCACTGTTGGAGCTCCAGCAGTAGCAGCTATAGATAGGGCGCGGGAATGGGTAACGACAGGGAATAAATATCGATAGGGCTTGGATGTTTATTACTAGTCCCTATCCGACAAGGTGGTAAAAGAGCTCTGGGCACTGTCTAAACTAGAGCACAACTGCTGCAGCTGCACCCAGTGGAGAGAATTACATGTCCAAGTTTTGCCAATGTGAATACAGCGCAAAGGAGTTGTATTCATCTAACTGGATGATACTGCAGCACTTGAACTCAGCTTAGAGCAAATCTTTGACCCTATAATCAGTAAAAAGACAACCGATCAATTCAATTCACCCAAAACAAAATGCATGGAAACATTTTGGAAGCAGTTAAATAAAGGTGATGTATATTACGTAAAATATACACAGATGTATATTTAATGGATCCTAAAGTAATATTGGCTTCTGTCAAATAAACTTCTGGATAAGATGCAACATTTTAAATACTGTCCTTATGTTCTATTTTGCTACATGGATATGACTTATAAATATTGAAAATAGTTTCTATTGCCAGTTCTCTTTTGAAATGTAACATTCAATATTAAAATCTCCCCATAGAGCTGTAGTACTGGTCATTCACATTCTAAAATGATACCCTCAAACTAAAGTAATTTCCTTATTTTGCACAAATATCAATTATCTAACCCTATGCTCTTGTCCACCAACTCTCCTGTACTTTTAAAGCTGCATACTTCCCTATCAACTTGTAATCACATACCAGCTGTTTCACTTGCTGTAATATACAATGCAGGGTGCCATCTATTGAAAAATGAATTCACACACTGGCTAGTAAAAGAACAAGCAGGAGAGATAATGGAGAAAAAGGGGGAAAAAAAGTAACAAGTAATAGAATGGATGCTTCATAGATTCCACAGGAATTCTACTTGTAATAAAATAAGTTGTTTAATTTCTTTTACTCAGTCACAACTATAACTGAGAATCTGGGGAAAATAAAGCACAATAAGAAGAGTACATAATTAATAATTCAGGATAAAATTAAAATCTACCACAGCACAAACAATATATCTAAAATATGACAATGAATCTATGGTAATTTAAAAAAATAAAGTTATGTAAAGCAGACTACAAATCTCAGATTCTCTGCCAAAAATTGTCAGAAAATTAAATTTAAGACTAAGGTAGACAGTAGAACTAGGCTGGGTCAGTTTTAATAATAATACATCTATAGCTCTAGAGATCCTCAGATGCAAGGTAAATGTTATTTTAGCCCCATAGCGCCTCTTTTCCTTATTTTAAAGGCAAAGTTGAGGCACAGAGCAGTTAAGGCAATTTGCCCAAAGTCTAAGGGAGTCACTGGAAGAGCTGAGAAGAAAATACAAAAATCCTAAATATCAATATCTGCTCTAGCCTTTGGATAATGCTCCCTCCAATGAGAGAGACAAAAAAGTGAAATCCTGGCCCTATTAAAGTCAATGGAAGTTTTGTCATTGACTTCAATGGGGCCAGGGTGTTACCCAAAGGCTCTGATTCAGCAGAGCTCTCAATGGCACTTACGCACATAATTGTTTTGCTGAATTTGGCCAAAGGGCCTTATTTTCAGAGATACTGAGCATCTACAGCTCATGCTGACTTCAGCTGGAGTTCTGGATGTTCACACCTCTGAAAATCAAACCAAGCGTCTCCTTAAAAAGTAGATATACATTTACCTGTATTTCTTTAGGTTTCTATTTATGACTATTTGTGAAAATACATATTTTCCTATTCTACAAGTACTTCTAAAATATTTTACCCCTTCTAAATTGTTCTGTGTTTGTCCCTTATTAGATCTAAAGATAGATTTTTTTTTTCCCAGAAGGAAGTACACTGAATTATCTGGTATTTTTTAAAATAGCACATATGCCCACATGTTCAGTTGTACATTTTTAAAAAGTATAGTGATGCACACTATATTTGATTCTATGGAATAAATACTTGGGTAAAGAATTTTTGGATAGTTATGATTAAAATCACTTTTGCAATGGATACAGAAACAGTTACTTAATATCTTCCTGAAGTGAAATTTGTGCAAGCATCTATATTCTTAAATCTAATTTAAATCCCTCCATTATTTCACTGAAAATTTAGTTAATGTACACAAATTCAGTGTCAGAAAGCAGATCTACATAAAATCAAAAGTTCACCATAAAAATGGTGTGATTCATATAGGTTTCATTCCTGCCTGAAAGACATTTGCATAGCACCTGTTTAAATGAAATATTAACCTTTAAAATATACAATATCAATATAAAGATACCTGCTGAGGTCCTCTGACAGCCCTCCTAGTGGCCTCTGAAGAGGGAAAATTTACCTCAGTAGCATCTTGATTTGTGTACGGATGTACAAGTTTGGTACCAATGTCTGCTGTTTTCAAATATGGTGTTTTGTCCTGAGTATTCTGTTTGAGCATGGCTGTATGGCTTGGGGGTTTTGTTTTGTCAAGTGTAGTTAGGTTTTGCATAGCTGAGGTTATGTGGTCAACTCCATGAGTTTCAAATGTGTTACATTCCAATTTACTCAGGTTCATAGCATGGTCTTCATGATCCATGTTAAAATGATGATCTTGAAGCATATTTTCAGCTATTGCAGTACAAGGAACTGTTGGTTTATCTGGAGTGCTCTGTAAGAAAGTAGAGTCATTGTCTGTAGGTGGAAACTTGACACTAAATTTAGAAAGTGATTCTACAGAGTTGTCTTCCTCATCTTGGCCCACTCCTCTTGGTGTGATAGATGTTATGCATGATACACCTCTATTTATATCTGTTTTAACCCGAGGTTTTAAAAGTTCTTCTGCTTGTTCATCAGTTTTATCAGTACACTGAATAGGCATGGAAAATGGAATTTCTGTAAAGGGGGGAAAAAGGAAATTGTCAGACGCCATCTATGGAAATAATAGTTCAAAGTAATTGTTAAAGCACAAATGTGCGGATCAGTTATTTTTCTTGATTCTTTTTCTTGATTTTTTTTTAGAGTATTTTCCTGAAGTCAATAATTTGAGGGATGCTCCCCCCATTCAAGAATGATAGCCCTAGTGCAAAAAACCAGAATGTGAAATAACAGAGCTTGATTAATTTATTCTAACAATTCTCTCTCTCTTAGGTTTTGTTAAAACGTATGTTGCCCCATATTCTCAACACACACTCACGTACATTTACTAAAGTGTTCTGGCACAAATAGAAGCTGCAACTCAAGATATTATTTTATGGAGTGCCAACGGTGTGCTAGGCACTGTAGTCCCAAAGCATTTGAAGTGAATAGACCTTCACCGTAGGGATTGTCTTCCTCTGTGTTTGAGAGCTCTCAATATTATTTGTAGTTCTCAAAATGCAATCTACATATTGCTTCTAATCAAATTGGGGAATAGTTTTACTATATATTTCATGTATGCAAAGTCCTCCTGAAATCACTCCAATCTCATGGTGATAGACGCCATATAAATTCACAGGCAGAAACTGGCATGGTAAGTCTACTGCTTTCTATGCTACAGATATATATTTTTTAAATTATATGGTGAATTTGCCCCTTCTAAAGTAGTTGTAGTCATGTTGGTCCCAGGATATGAGAGAGACAAGGTGGGGGAGGTAATATCTTTTTATTGGGCCAACTTCTGCTTTTCAGCTCCCCAGAGCTCTTCTTTGGGTCTGGGGAAGAGCTCGGTGTGGTCAAAAGCTTGTCTCTCTCACCAACAGAAGTTGGTCCAATAAAAGATATTACCTCACCCATCTTGTCTCTTCCTGAATGAGGCAGAGAATCTTTTCATGTGAAAAAAGGACATCATATTGTTTATTCTATACAAACAATACACAATAATAATGTAGTGTAAAAAACCCCCACAGAAATCAATTTTACAGGCACCTATTAATTAACTGGAAGCAGCTTGACAGATACCCAGAACTTTGGAATATCAGGTCCCTTATTTACATCTTAAAATATGGATTTAGGAGCATAACTTTAGACTCATTCAGTATTTTCTTTTCAGCATTTGATGTCCAGGTTTAGCTGAACTCAGTAGATACTTGTACATATTGATTTCAGCTGAGTACAGCCATAAGTGGGTACCATTAAAATTTTATCTTTTCAATTGTTATTCATGGGAAATTATCACAAATATGGTTACCGTTTAACAGTTAGACAGTGAATACAAGTTTTAAGGGAGTCCAGTGTACATCTTATTAGGACTACAAGTCATGTTATTAATAAATATATCACAGTCATGATCAGCAAGCACTTCATTGTACTTGCCTCAAGAAAAGACAAAACATCAACTTTGGAATAAACTTGCTGGGTGCCCCAAATCAGAGATAAGAGGGGCACATAATAAAAGATCAACTTTCATCTACCCTTTTTTCCCCTTTAATCACTTGAAGTCATGGACCACTAGCTCTTATTTCATGTGAAGTTGTAACATAGTTTGCCAATATGTACTGGAGACATCTGCAGGGAGCTGGAAAGGTAAGGTAAATAATTTTTTTTGTGAGGGTTTGAAAAGTGGTCTGTAAAACCATATCAGGACCTGATCCTGCTGTCTTACTAGCATGTAAAAGCTAATGAAACTACTTCTAGTATTATGCACTATGTCCAGTATAAGTGTTAGCAGGATCAGGCTCGTAGGACTTAGTCCAGTTCTCGCTGAAGTCAGTTTTTCCATTGATTTTGGTGAGAGTTGGACGTTTAGTCTGTATAATTTAAAAAAAAAAAAAAGTGTTTCAAGTCTGCACAAAGCACTCTATTTTAAAGTCCTCTACCTCTCCACATGCCAGCTCCACAATCCGGCAGCCTTCTGTGACAAATGTGAGGCTGGAAATATTCATAATGGGCATTTTTATAAACAGAGCTGAATAAAAAACAAAAAGTGCTGTCACTTAGAGCATGCTGGGGCATCAGACTGAGTGAGAGCCAATGATCTACTTCAAGGGATAAAAAAGAACCCTGAAAGTCAGTTACATGGTGACTGCCTCTTACCCATGTAATTTGGAATGTTCCTCATACAATTCCAAAACTCGTGGTGCATTTTCTTAGTGAACTGCAGAGCACCATGCAAGCAGACTTGAAAGAAGCAGATGGTAAACAGTAGAAGTACTTTCAATGTATGTGTAATTTACAGTATTTTCAAATATAAAGCAAAGCTTTCAAACAGTTGAATCACAATAAGAGCTAAAGTAAGATGTTACCATTTACAGGTTCTCTCTTTATGTTAAGTTTACTGAGTTGGTCTGTTTGCTTTCTTGCTAATGTGCATATTCGATGACATTCTTCCTTCATCTCCTGGAAAACCATCTCTAGATCTTCCCTAAAAGTTCAATATTTTAAATCAAAGTGTCAGTGAGTTCAGCTCTTTCATGACCTCGAATTAAAAAAATAATATTCCACAACTGTAAGCCAGAGATAGTGTTAACAGCTAAATTTTTCTGGTAGCCTTCTACTTAAGGCATGCGCACACACATTCTCCTTTGCAAAAGCAAATGAAAAGGAGGAAAGTAGTCAAACATGATGAAATATGTAGCTGTTTGGTCATATAGCACATGCATAGGCCCCCTGCATGAAAATGGTGGAATGGAGCAATAAACCTTTATAGGCCAGGGATTCAAAGGAAACCTGAGCCACAGACCTTTCATGTTTCACTGAGTTCCCTCCAGCATTGGCAGTACAACATAGCCTTGGCAATTATAGTGTTCCTGTGTTCATGTGATGGCCAGTCCAGAGTAGGGTGACCAGACAGCAAGTGTGAAAAATCAGGACAGGGATGGGGGGTAATAGGAGCCTATATAAGAAAAAGACCCAAAAATCAGGACTGTTCCTATAAAATCGGGACATCTGGTCACCCTAGTCCAGAGAAATTAGCTAATGCTGTTGTGAACATACATTATTTCCCATTTTTTGCTGTGGACTTTAGTCCATGCAGGAAAGGAAATATGCTATGCAAAAGCAGCTGTTGCCTTGAAAAACAAAAGTTTTGCCGGCGACAAGCACCAGTGTGAACAACGTGTTGTCGGCAGGAGCATTCTCCTGCTGACAACTCAAACACTGCTTGTTGGAGACCCGACAAACAGCAGCTACACAGCGCTACTTTTAGCGGCATGGCTGTAGCGACACAGCCATGCTGCTAAAAGCTGTGTAGCTTAGACATAGCCTGGTATTCCCTTCTGCACAACCCAAATCCTAGCTTTTTTTCCCCTCTTGCTTTGTTTCCCTACAGACCTTTCACAGGTTCCTAAATGGCTGTCAAATACTTAGTAAATCACACTAAGAATGGGAAACATAGCTCTTCATACAAGTGCAGTTTTTGGCTTCTTGAAAAACCATGTACAGTACATTATTCTGCTTACTTATGCATCACAAATACTTGAATTGAGACACATTAGACCACACAGACTAATAAAACGTAAGTTCTTAGATCTTGCAAAAAACTTTTAGTTAAAGGTGACCTGAAGATTTGGGGTGGGGTAGGGGAAAGAGACACAGGGCTCGTGCCTTATTTTGCTCCTTTATGCCACAGGGTTGTGTTGTTGCTTTTATAAAAATGTTTTTTTTCCCTGTGTTTTTATTCACCCTGTAACAGTTTGGTCTATTAAGTGCTGCCTTCCTCGTTTTGCTGAAGGTGTCCTTTGGAGGACCCAGAGATGTGGATTAGGAACTCACTCAGAAGAATGAGGACAGCTGGTGAGAGTGGTTTTAGTATTTGTTCCAACTGTTTCTCAGGTGTTTCAGTTTGTTAGTAGTTAAACACACCAAAACCCCACTCAAAAGCTTTTAATATTTTGCATTTATATTTTATTCAATCAGATTTCACTTGCTTCTCTCTAATGCCGTGTCATAATCCTGCAAGTTCTCCAGTCACGCATAGCCTTGCAAGAAGAACTGGGCATACAAGAGCTGAATTTTAATGTAAAAAAACATGCGGAGGGTAGGGAAGAGGGGGAATACTTTTTTAAAAGGCACTTCAAATAAGCTTTAGGAAAAAATAAAGTAGCAAAAAAAAAAAAAAAAAAAAAAAAACCCATTTTTTTCACCCCATGTGACACCTTTAAGAATCTCCCTCTAAATGATCATTCAGCAAAGATTGGTAAAAACCTGGCTTAGGTCTGCACTTTTCACAGGAGAATACTACTAAGGCTCTGGTCAACCCCCTTCACCATAAAACATGCAGAAGGGCAATACTCGCTCATTAAATACAGCGAGGTTCAGTGTCATACACCTCTGTGATGCCCTTCTCTTGATTATACAGGGGTCACAAGGCCTCCTCTGCATTGTGGGCAGAGGCACCATAGCTAAACCTGGCCCTGAACACTCCGATTTGGAACCATAAAATTGAAGGATTAGTCCCTTGTGCAATCTGTTGAGCCCTCTCCTGGCAGCACTGCCCTCCTGTACTGCCACTAGTTATTCCAGCATGACTGCACAGTCCCCCAAAAGGAGTTAATGCTGGTTATTGTATGAGCTTTAACATCCATAGCTATTTCCCATGGAGCTTAAACTCCTGCTGCATCAAGTGGCTGTTTTTTCTTCCTCCTGATATATCCCTGAATACCCATAGAACACCAGCTATGTGTCCACATGCCACACTGGCTCTGCTCCCCTCCCTACGCCGGCTTCTGGGCCCTTTTCTGTTCTTTCTGTATTATGAAAAGGGAGAGAAGCAGCTGGCCTTATTACCTTTTAGTAAATGTGAACATTAAAAATTGTTTACAAAAATGCTGCAAAATTATTTACCTTTCATGCACAGTTAAAATACCAGGGATCCCTGGAGATAAATCCTGTCTAGCTGGAGCAATCTTCGTATGTTTAATCTTAAAGTAAAACATGGGATTAGGGAGCTTGTTTTGGTGTACTAATTTCAATTCTTACATTTACATGGATTTAACACAAAGGTAGATTAACAAATGTCTCAACATTCTTCAACATCAGCAGAACCAACTAATCTTGCTTGTACTCCAAGAAGCCATTTAGAAAACAAAATGTACAAGAAATCTCATTCTTCATTCTTTGATTTAAAATCCCTTCTAGTACAAATTTGGTAATTCCACTATTTTTCCCTTATACAAAGGTTTTCATTTGAGACTCTCACAGGACTTTAATATGTGGGTAAATGTTATCCTCCTCTTTATAGGTAGGGAAGCTAATGCACAGAAGTTGTATTGTATTATAATTCAGTTTTAATCATGTATCAGATCATAGGCTCATTTCTAAGGAACTGATGTATTTTAGTTTCAAAAAGCAATTGTCTCTAAAATTTTCAACAAGCAGATTAAAAGCTGATAAGTATTCTATCATGCTTTTAAACAAGTTGTTACCTTTGACTACCACCTTGTGGATTAGACTCGTATTACATGGACTGTAAATTGTTCACTAAATATAGGCTACCCAGTAGTTTTCAACCTTTTTTCAGTTGTGGATCCCTAAAATATTGCAAATGGAGGTGCAGACGCCTTTGGAAATCTTAGACATAGTTTGCCGTCCAGCAGGGATCCGTGGATCACAGGTTGAAAACCACTGCTCTACCCTGGATGTTTTTCCTGGTAAGTGAAACACCCAATCTGACCAAAAGAGTGGGATAAAAATGGAGGATTGAAGCTAGGGATAATATTCAATCTGAGTCTGAATTGTAAAGACCAACTACAATACAGCTATGTTATTTTTCTCCATCAATATTATATTTAATTTTATAACAACTTAAAATAAAAATAAGATGAATAGTTAAATTGCACAAAATAAGATTCAAGTATTTTATGGCTTAACTGAAGGAACATTACAGCTAGTGTTACTGTACCTATTTTAACAATTTTCTTAGCAACTTACATACAGTTGTAATCTAAAATCTGTTAACCAGAATAATTTGTATAAACAAAATCTAAAATAAGCATAATTATTTGCAAAGGTGTGGTGTCTCATTTTATTTACTTACCTCCATTTCATACATTGGCATATGTATGCAATCCTGTGCTTCACTTTTTTCTTTTAATCTGTTTTTTAGAAACCTTATTTCTTCTTCTTTAACGGCAATAATAGATACAAGTTTATTTTCCTTTAGAATGTTTTCTTCCTCAGTTTCCTTCAATTTAATGCTCTCTGTTTCCAACTGGTCCTAAAAATAGCACAATTGGTTAATATTTCCAGAACAGGAAGAATATCATTATGCAACAGCCTGGGATAGACTAAATTAAGTCTTGGCAACCTAAATGAAATGAGTCTTATCTACTCACTAACATCAGTTTGCGTTGACATAATTAAAGACCATTTAGTACTATCTACAGATATGTCTGATCATGGACAATTACTCAAAACAAGTGTGTGCTGTTTTGAGTTTATAAAAGCAAACCCAGCAGATGTTCACCTTAGTGTTTTAAAAAAGTGGAAGACATTGTCTTACTTCATTTATATACACTGTGTGCAGTAACATTTAATTAGTTTCATAGCATGCTAAAATCAAGTTACAGCAATTTTAAAGAAGGTGACAAAGTCTTCAGAGTTAATTTCTGGAGCAGTTAGAAATGTAGCTCTTTATCACTTAGGTGATTTAGATTTCCAAAGACCCAAGGTGCATGCAATGCTGAAAAGATAAGGAATTAGACATTTTAAGTGTAAGCCCTAACCCAAATATTCAACCAGACTTTTGTAGAAATTATATAAGGAGAAAATCTAGCAGGTCACCAAAGGAAAACTTAGGTTTTTTTTAAATGTATAAGGAGGCAATCCTTGGATTATTTTTGAGTAAAAGAATATATGGCAAGAGGCACAGAGACGCAGTTACAACAGCTAACAAGTCGTCTTTCCTTGAAAGCTGTGGAAATGTCTATAGCTAAAGTTTCTATACTAATAGAAGCATAGGATTTCTAGAAAGTTTGCAGAGGACAGTAGAAGCAGTAGTGACAATTATCCAGTTACATACATAAATATATTTAAGAAGGGGGAATAAGAGAGGGAATTTTGGCAGTTATTTTTGGAGGGATTCAGGAAGCACTGTGGCAGTCAAATAAGAAAAGGCAAATTATGGAAGAGAACTATTTGAATATGGATGACTGAATTGTATTTTTAAAATGCCACAATGCGAATAGGAGACATTCACTTGATTCAAATTAGTTTTATTATATTTGTCTAGAAGCAATCAAATGCACCAGAAATATTCTGCTCTTATAATTTTGAAATTGGGTACAAAAGTCTCTCTCTGAAACATTTCTAATTGCTTTGCAAGTCACCCAAATAACAGAGTAATTCAGGTGTTTCATTCCCAGGACATTTTCCCACTAAAATTAAATGTTTGTTTATAAGTGTATTGATCTAACTGATCAAAATGGTTAAATAGAAACACGGTGACTTTGACCTAGGGCTGCAAAAGTCGCATGCAATGTCAAGATAAATAATGTGCCAAAATGCAAGTCACACCATCTGGAAAAATAATTAGTTTAAAAACAAGGTCAGTGGGAAGACAGATAAAGAATGCTCAAAGGATGAGCCATGTTAAGTCAGGTACCCGGCTCCAACAGGATAAAACTTAAGTAACCAAATAGAGAATTAGGCCCAAGGTATATCCTGTTCAACACCCCCCCCCCAAAATGTTTTATGAAGCCTGTACATGCAAATACAATGTACTAGAAGTACAATGTGTACATGGGATGGGGGCAGATGGAGAAGGATCCAGCCCCAGGTGTGGTGATTCAAGGAGGGGAGTGTATTCAGATAACCCATTAGCAGAGCCCCAAAGAGGCTGCTGTAAGAGTCAAAATATAGATGCATTCTGGGATGAAGTTTAGAGAAGACGTTTCTATATTTAAATTTCACAATTTGAGCCAGTTAACCAAGAGTCAGTGCTCCAGGTCAGCTCACCCTGCCCCCCAAATTACCTAGTCCATAGTAGGCCTTCCCTTTTCTCAAGGAGTAACAGTCAGCTTCCTCCACTCACTGAGTGGTCAAAATAGTCTTTAAAATGGGTTCTCTTCACCACAGGGAAACCCCATATCTCACTGGCTGGCTGAAGTCCTAGCAAACCCAGTTCCCCTGATGCTCTCAATTGGCAGGACAACCCATTTCTAAAGCCATCCCCCTACACCTATATATGCTATTACCTTCCTGATTACTTCCTTTAGCTGGAGGACCCTACTTTCAGGTTTGATGCTTCTGGCAGGTACTGTGGGACAGATTTCAGTACCTGTTTCCAGGACAGGCCATTAACCCCTTTCTGTCCTTGTCCAGGTTAGGGTCTATACACCCCATTACATGGAGTGTAAAGAAGTCTAGAGTCCAAGGAATGGGATGAAGAGAAAAGATGCAGCAAGAGAAGTGTTAGTCTTGATGGGACACGAAGACTAGGCAGGAAGAGATTGTTGTACTCAGTTCTGAAATGGATAGGAAGTCTGTGAAGATTTTAGGCTAAAGGTCATGTGTTCCCAACTTCCAGAGGGGTCTGAGATTTTTCAAAATATGACATGTAAATTTGACTGAGGGACTTAGGGAAAGCAAAGGAAATCACAAAAGTGAGATGAGAAGAAGGCATAAAAAGTTTCTGTAGTCAAGGTAATATTTTATGTGGATCAGGTTAGAAAGGGATAAACATTTACTGAGTTGGGAAGCAAGTAAGAACTTTGCTGAAGTTTAATACACAGGTTCCTGACCATTTGGGTGTATGCAAGATGGAGGTGGTGGTGTTTTTGGATTAAGGTATTCTTACCAGTTTTGAATGTGCTGAAGTTGAAGGAAGTTATGGTGGAGCCAGGAGTTGGATAAGGTTGAAGTACTTAAAGAGTGAGGAAAGGGCTGTAAGAGTAAAGGTTATAAAGCATAAGGAGGTCTGAAAAACATTACACAGTAACGTTAAGAATAAAAATCTAACAATTGCAAAGCAGGGTTAAGCATGAAATGTATCAAGTACATACATTAGAAACAGGCAAATGTGCAACAACACTTAGCTCATGGCTCCTTCAGTCCCTGCACACAGCTCTTGCAGAGTCTAAATAGGACTCTGCTCTTTTTGCTCTGGCCAAAAGTCAGACAAAGCAAGAGGAGCACAGATTACAGGAGTGCCCCCTGAAACACAAGGCAAACACCAGAAGCAGTGTGGGAGTCGCTATGCTCTTCCTCTGGTAGGGGAACAAAGGCAATGGGGCACAAGGAAGGCAGAGAGAAGAGAAATTCAGTGGGAGAGTCACTACATACCAGCACAACAGCCTGTCTGTGTACTAAAATGAGCATCATGTTGTTGTGAAGAAGCTATTTCATCACATACTGATGAAAGTCAGCATCACTTTGCGCTGTCATGACATCATTATATTGCCTTTCCCATATCTTACAGACACTAACAGTGACAATTCAACCTTTAAAGAACCAGAGTCACCAAGACTGATTGGGTCTGAGTGGCTTCAACATCAATATGATAACTCTCCTAGATTAGTTTATGAACTCATGATATATTTTATATATCTTATATCTCATGATCCCATGACAGTTATGAGACTGTCTAGTGGTATCTGGCTCAATTAACATATCTGGCCATGTTCTGAATCTTATGTACTGGGATTGGCAGCAGGGATAGAAATTACTCCTGTGTCACGGAGCTCTCCGTTATGACATATCTTTCCTGTCAGGGTGTGGCAACCTATTTTAATGGTCTGTCCTAGGAAGCTAATGGAACAGGTAAAATTTCAGATGGCTCTACGGAAGAATGCTGTTCAGCTGACAAACTTCCACCAATGGCCTTATGGAACATTAACCATCTTTTGTCTGACTATTGATAAGTTTACCAATAAGTGTCCCATTCAGCTTCAGAGGTTACCTGGCTAATTCTGCTTTTCAATCACTCCAGTGGTGCACAAAGAAAGCTTAAAGCTGTTTCAGACAGGCAGGTGCAGGAGGGTCCGCAGCTGGTATAAATCCAGTGTATCAGCTTTCCATTACCTGCTCCCTCATCTCAGAGGTAGGTGGTATGGAGGAGGCATACTGGGGTGGGAGGGGCTGGAACACACAGCACTCCAGAGGACTAACACACAGCACTCCAGAGGACTGCCCCAGCTAGCATTTCTTAGAGTAGCCTCTCAGACTGCTTTAAGTTATACGGGGGGGAATTTCAGCCCCAGGATCAGGGGCACAGGAAGGTGACTTATAGCACAATCCTCACCACTCTGCTTATGCTCTGAACAGCTCAGAACCTAGACCACTAAGTAACTTATTGCAGCATAAATCATTTTTGAGATCTGATGCCCTGGCTGTGCCTGAGATGTAGAAGCATTTCTTTCCCTCTGCTATAGCATCTAAAGTCCTGAAATATTTCTGGGAGGAGTGTGAACAGCATGGTAAATATGGGTGTTTTGTCTTGGGTGTGGAGTCAAGTATTCATGCTTCACAGATAAATTTACACTGATTCACATGGCACTGTTTGCCTTTGTGGGGAGAGCTGTGTTTAGGGGAGAGAAATGCAAGGTCTTCTTTGCTTGGGTTTCATGTAGTTTTGCCTGCAAAGGTCATGGCTATGGTGGGGACGTTTGGGCTGTGACATGAAAACTGGACCCACGTCCTTCCTAGTTGGGAAGTATTCAAGACCATTCCTGGAACAGAATGGGATGTTGACCCCTTGGTCTCCTAAAGGGAAGCATTGACAAATAACTCTCTCTTAGTCCCTTTGGTCATTCTTTACTGTCTCGGGTCCTCACAATTATGCCAGTTATCACCCACTCTAATCTCCTTTTCTGAGAGAAGATTGTTGAGAAGGCTGTGGTGAGACAGTTCTGGATATAAAGGAGTCCACAGATTTCCATGATTTCATTCTGGTTTGAGCCTGGATATGGTACAGAGACTGCACTAGTCTCTTTGGTCAATCCCCTGTTGGGATGTATGAAGATCATATCCGTGATAGTATTTTTAGTTGCTAGGTCTAAAAGAACAAGTACTTAATGGTAGAAGGCTAACTACGAGGTATAGCTCAGACACCTGCAGAGAAGACAAAGTTTCTCTTGAGAGGCTATGGTTTTTCCTCTGCAAGAGGATCCAGAGGGATATGTTGAGCAATGCTCATATGTCCCAAGGGCACTCTCAGGTATGGCTGTATAGGAATTATTTTGTCACCCCTCTTGATCAATGTGTAAGAATGCCAATCTGGGAAATGTGTTTGGGTTACAATGTCAACAGAATGCAGATGAAATAGAGCAGTGGTTCTCAACCAGGGGTACATGTACCCGTAGGGGTACACAGAGGTCTTCCAGGGGGTACATTAACTCATTCAGATATTGGACTAGTCTTACAACAGGCTACATAAAAAGCACTAGCTAAGTCAGTACAAATTAAAATTTCATACAGATAATGACTTGTTTATACTACTCTAAATGCTATATACTGAAATGTAAGTACAATATTTATATGCCAATTGATTTATTTTATAATGATATAAATTATATAATATATATAATTATAAGACAGATCTGGCTTCAAGACTAAGCTTGATAAGTTTATGGAGGGGATGGTATGATGGGATAGCCTAATTCTGGCAATTAATTGATATTCGATTATTAGCGGTAAATATGCCAAATGGTCTGTGATGGGATGTTAGATGGGGTGGGATCTGAGTTACTACAGAGAATTCTTTCCTGGGTGTCTGGCTGGTGAGTCTTGCCCACGGTTTAGCTGATCACCATATTTGGAGTCGGGAAGGAATTTTCCTCCAGGGCAGATTGGCAGAGGCCCTATGGGGTTTTCGCCTTCCTCTGCAACGTGGGGCATGGGTCACTTGCTAGAGGATTCTCTGCACCTTGAAGTTTTTAAGCCATGATTTGAGGACTTCAATAGCTCAGACATAGGTTAGGGGTTTGTTACAGGAGTGGGTGGGTGAGATTCTGTGTCCTGCGTTGTGCAGAAGGTCAGACTAGACAATCATAATGGTCCCTTCTGACCTTGAAGTCTATGAGTCTATATGGTAAAAGTGAGAAAGTAAGCAATTTTTCAATAACAGTGTGGTGTGACACTTTTGTATTTGTATGTCTGATTGTATAAGCAAATACACCTCATTTAAAAGCTAACTTGGAGCTACGTGAGATAAATCAGACCCTGAAAGGGATACAGGCAATTATACAATTGGGGAATGTTCTAAACCAGAGGTTCTCAAACTTCATTACACCGCGACCCTCTTCTGACAACAAAAATTATGACAGTCCCCCTCCTGCGGTCCTAAAGCCTTAGCCTGCCTAAGCCCCGTCACCCCGGGGAAAAGGGGGTGGCAAAGCCAAGCCTCACCCCCCCAGGCCGGGGGGCCAAAGCCCAGGAGCTCAGCCCCAGGCAGGGGGCCTGTAACCTGAGCCCTACCGCCCGGGACTGAAGCTTTTGGGTTTGGGCTTTGGCCCTGGGCCCAACCAACTCTAAGAGTACGTCTATACTTACCTCCGGGTTCGGCGGTAAGCAATCGATCTTCTGGGATTGATTTATCGCGTCTTGTCTAGACGCGATAAATCGAACCCGGAAGTGCTCGCCGTCGACGCCGGTACTCCTGCGCCGCGAGAGGAGTACGCGGAGTTGACGGGGGAGCCTGCCTACCGCGGGTGGACCCGCGGTAAGTACTTTGTAGTTCGAACTAAGGTAGTTCGACTTCAGCTATGTTATTCACGTAGCTGAAGTTGCGTATCTTAGTTCGAACTTGGGGGTTAGTGTAGACCAGCCCTAAGCCAGCCCTGGCGACCCCATTAAAACGGGATTGTGACCCACTTTGGGGTCCTGACCCACAATTTCAGAACCACTGTAAATCTAAACACTAACCAGGGACAGAATGAAGGGACACAAACTATTTTAATTTAAATCCCACCACCATGGATTTACATGTACTGAATTTATACAGCTACTGAATGAGACAGTTTTGCTAGCGATGTAGCAGAAAGGAGTTCATGTGGTGGAGGACAATGGCTGTGGATATAGTTTACCTGGTTTAGGAAAAAAAATTTGATAGAGCATTTCACTCCCCCCCTCCGCTGCCAAATAGTAAGCGAACTACCATATTTGGGTTGATAAAGAACCGACTCTTCTACTGAAGACAGCGTTTACAAGAGAAAGCTATTTAGATTGGACAGGGTGGCAAATGAAATACTAGGAGGATCAATTTTGTTCAATATATACCAAAGATCCATATTAAGTAAGTGATTAAATTTACAACTGATACATCTCTTACTCATGCACATCATTTTGTAAATCAGAGAGATACCTGAATAGTCTAGAAGCAGGTACCGATAGGTAGTTTGTGCCTCGAAAAGACAGTCTTGTGGTTAAGACACTGGACTAGAACTCAGAAGATCAAAGTTCATTTCCCAGCTCTGCCATAGACTTCCCATGACAATGTAAGCACATCATAATCTCTGTGTCTCAGGTCCTTATCTGTAAGATTGGGATAATTCAGCTTCCTTTCTCACACTCCTTTTCTGTCTTATTTAGATAGATTGTAAGCTCCTCAAAGTAGGGGCTGTCTCTTAATATTTGTTTGTACAATACAGATTACAATGAGACCCCCAATCATGGCTGGATCTCTAGGCTCTACTGGAATACACATAATAATAATAATAATAATAATGAAATTCAATACAGAGAAATGGAAAGACCTGCAAAGATGTTTTGACAAGGAGTTAACTCTTCAACAAAATTCTACTCTCATTTTCTAATTAAATACAAAAAACTACCATGGAAATTATATTGTGGAGTTACAAGTGCTAACCCAGAAGCGAAGACTATATGAGGATGAGATTCTTGTATCATCCTTTCATTCTAAAATGGCCTTAGTAACAATAAACTGAAAATGCTTATTTAAAAAAAAAGTCTCAAATTAGATTCCTACAAGATAATTAGCAACTGTCACTAATCTGATAAAATGATTTTCAAATTAACACCTCTGATTAAAATGTGCTTAGTTCACCGAAATGCAGGATCACTTTGTCCATAGCTCAGATTTAGCAAACAAATCCCCAAATTAACTTTTTTAGTCTGAGCTTTTGGTTTCACAAGGTTTATTAAGACAACACTGTGGGGTCATGCTCAGACTGACAATTCAGCCTTATGGGATGTGCAAGCCCCAGAAGACGCAGCAGGCCGAGCAGTTCAGGGAAAGGATCAGCTTGGTGCACAAGGTCTGCTCTGCGTGTGGGAGCCTCATGTAAATCACTTCCTCCCTCCTGACCACTGCTGCTCTAGTCTCATCCCTGCCAACCTCAGTAGGTCTATGATGAAAACCCTGGCGTGGCTTCAGCCAGCTACGGATAGGGGGAAAGGAATATATCCAGCCAGTTTAGGCAGCAAGTCACTTCTCACCCCAATCACTTGCCGCAGCGCAGACTTGCCAAGTCCCCATCCCCACTCCGACAACTGCATTGTGACAGATTCTCATTACAGAAAAGGGGAGCTCCTTCTTGACTGTCACATATGTGAGGTGAAGAAATAAGTGAGCAGACAGGGTCTCCCCCCCCCCTTCTTTTTCTGAGTCAACATTATTCCCATGATCCACGCTGCCAAACAGCAACAGAGCTGGGAAGAGTCAGAGCTTTATCCTCAACTGGTGGAAATCAGCACAGCTCGACCAACTTTGGTGCAGCTATGCTAATTGACATCAGCTGAGGATCAAGCCCATAAGACCCTGGAAAGGGAGCAGTTCAGGGCATCTCTGAAAGTTCATTTCTCCATTTAGAACCTAAAAGCATAAATATAATAATCATGTTAAAGACAATCAGGCTACTGTACCTTTAAAAGTTTCTCTCTTTGCATTGCTAGTTTCAGTTTTTCATGGAGCTGATCAAAAGTTAGATTAGGGGAGGTGTCATTTCTCCATGTTTCACTATCTTCAGGCACCAGAACATGGCCATGTGCACTACCTGTAAAATAAAAACAGCTCTCGGAGCATCACTGCATGTCCCCCCCAGCCACGTTAAGATTTAAAAAAAATAAAAAATAAATGCATCGTATGAATTTGGTATTTTCACTGGGCCAAGTATCACTGTAAATACATATTAAGTTTATTTTAGTTTCCTTTATTGGACCTAGTATTAATCCAACAGAGGCCCAATTCTGCCCTCTAATACTCAGACAGATGGGCAAATCCAGCAATAAACACATTGTTGAAAATAAAGCCATCAGCTTTGCTGGCATTTGTGAAAAGGAAAAGCGTTAGACTAGTATGAATAAATAAATATTCACAAGAGTGCTTTTACTGAAAGAGTTTTAATGGCCATTTTGAAAAGTTCATTTCTATCCTGTGTAGAATTGATCCAGTTAATTAAGAATGTTCACTGACAATTTGAACAGAAAGAGAAACTCCTGTTTCTAAAGCTTAAGTAACCCAATAAGTTAACAAAAGAGTGCCATGTAACTTAGCTGACCACTCACACAACATAGAAAGTCACACCTATTTACCCAGTTCTCGACCAAACTATAGGCTAAAACTTGTTCACACAAATTAGTCAAACAATTGTGATCAGTATTCATAAAAATAAATCATATCCTGTTTGCAGATAATTTGTTACTACAATTAACAACTCTACTCACCTGAAGTCCATTGACTTCAATGTGAGCAAGCTGTATATATTTTTTTTTTAAATCCTCACTGTTTCTTCTCGAAGAAGAAACAAAAAGGTTTCCAAGATTTTTCATTTTATAAACAAAATTTGAAAAATGCAAAAGTATGTTAAATCTTTCTGTTCACAAAGGAAGAGTCTTATTGCCGTTAAGTATAGCATTACCTCAGAGTCCTTTTGTGGATACACATTGTAGAATCTGAAGCAATAAAGAAGTCAAAACTAAACTATTCTGCAGTATAATACATGATAAAAGGAAAGACATATAAAGCACACAAATTAGAGTACGTACCTCTGTTAGCATTCACAGGAGCCAACTGTGATTTAAGTTTTGTAATCATACTTTTTTGAAACTCTATCTGTTCCTGCTGTTCACATATTTGCTGCGTATAGCTTTCTGTCTGAAAATACAATAATTTAATTAGCATTAGTCTTATTTTGTTTTGATTAAGGGCTTCAGTTTTAGCAGATACAGTTTATCAGCTCTCTTTTTGGGATGCCTGCGGCTACAATTTGTGCACAGAAACTTGACAGTTGTCACCTGTGACAGGTCTAATTTTAAGTCTGTACTGAGTGGAAAAAGGTAAACTACTAGATAAAACAAGATTGCTGTAAGTCTTGGTTAACAGTGATGGTAGTAAATGTCAGGATAACGTTTATACAAGAGGCAATTTTCAGTCGTAACCACAAATTAAATTATTTGTGTTTTAAAGTTAGGATTTGGGTATTTATTTATTATTCTTTCACAGAGTCGGTTAGTTACCCCAGTTATATCTATATAAAGTCACTATCAATTTAATTTTTCAGGAAATAAATCTAAATGTCTAAGTAAAGATATTATTTTTTTCAAATTTAATTTGAAACAATATTATAGTTCCACTCCCCATACCTGTTTGCTGTTTAACTAAAAAATAGGAATAAATATACATGTCTATATTTAATACATCACACTGCATGTCTTTGCTACCTTTGCCTTCCAAGACTCCTGGAAGAGGATGGGGAGAAAGCCCAACTAGCAAAGAAAAGAATAGCTGATCAGTGTTACTCTTCGTCTAACTTTGCCTAATCTCCTCCCCTAGCTTGACCTGCCCTGTTAGAACCTAGAAGAGCACTGAGCTACTCTAGGGTAGATGAATATTAGTCAGCCAGTTAACTGAACAACAATCAGGGACCATTCAGGTAGCTGAATAACAGGATTAAAAAAAAATATATATATATTACACACATGATTCCACTAGCCCATTCCTGATGGTACAACACTAATAGTGCTGAAGTTATGGGAGAAAACTTGTGAAATTCTAACAAGGAAGTTTTAGGAGGATTATTTGAATTTTTTCTGAAATTACAATACACATTACTGCACAGAAAGAGTGGGGACAAGATTAGTGTGTTTAAATTAGTTACTTCACTGTTATTGTATCTGTATTGTAAGCCTCACTAAGTTAAAAAGACTTTTTATTGAAAAGATGCACTTGTCCGTACAACATGCAAGAATAAACCTACAATCTGACTAAAGGTTACTCTGAAAGGCTGAGTAATTGTTGCACTATGAGAGCATTTAAAAAAAAAAAGTGATCATAGAGCAGTACACTCCAGCAGCTATAAAAGACCTCAGAAAGCAGAAAAATCACTGAAAACCAAATTGAAAATGTACAACAGCAATGTCTTGTCAACACTTCTGTACAGAGCACAGACATGACAGCTAAAACAGACAGAAGAGAAGATGCTTTTGACAGCCAGTGTGCACAAATTATTCTTTGAGTCAGATGGCAGCAACAAGTTACCAACTAGAAGATCTGCATGACAACCAACTATCCATCTGTATCAAACACCATCTGGCCAAGATGACTCTGGCTTCTGTGTGTTTGACATGGCTCCCAACTCTAGAGACTGGCAAAACAAGTGGCCTACCAGTAACTTTAGTAAACTGTTAACAACAGAATGCTGGACAAGCCAACAAAGTGCTAAGGCCATGGAGCGAACAGAGGAAAAGGAAGGAAACATTAGAGCAAGCAACATATGTAGGTCATCCAAAAAAATCTCATGTTTGGTAAAAACCTGCAGTTTCTATAGGTTGACTTCCCTTAGGAAATACTTTTACCTTTAATGGTTCTGTTCTGCAGTCAGAGAATCTGATTGCTGAAGGTTGATTAGGGCAAAGACAAGCTATTATGAACACTTTATGGAAGATCTGTGTATTGCTTGTCTCTAAACAACAACAACAACAAAAAATGCACAACAAAATCCCATAGAAATTTGTTTCTGTCACTGTAGAATACACACATTCTCACCCATTTGTTCCTTATGTTCTAATTTTCCACTGAGCTTTAGAAAGGCTGTTCCATAAGCATGTATTTATTTTCTTGTTTTGAGTGCAGCATATGTATCCAAAGAGGACAAAATTAAGTTTATAATTTAGCAATTAATTTCAAAGAACACAGAGTTAGAGTTTAGGAACGTCTCAGTGGTGTTGAGAGAGCGAGAGCCCCAAGCCAGAATAGCAAATAGCTTGCGGGTAAGGCACTCAGCTAGGATATGGGTGACCCAGGGTCAAGCGTCTGGTCTTTGACTCAGGCAGAGAGTGCATTTGAACTGAGGTCTCCCACATCCAAATAAGTGCCCTGAGCACCAGGCTATTCTGCGGTGGGTCTTTTTTTGGGGAGGCAGGGTTACTGGATTTCAGAATAAAGTGTGCTTTCTGGCAGACATTTTCTTACCCCCAACTCCATTACTTCCTCTCTCTGAACTGTAAGATAGTTTAGGACCCATGTTCCTCCAGACAGACCCCACCATAGCCACCTCCACTGAACTGTGTGTGAACTGATGAAGAATGAGAGACTCCATTGAAGAGCAGGATTTGAAATGCTCTAGAGACCACGGTGTGCTAGGCAGTATCACAAAACCACAAACTGCTGTTTTTGCAGAGTATTGGACTGTATGTGCGACTAGTAGCTCCAGACAACTCATGGAAATGTTGTTGTGTCCAACATGATGGTCGCAATCTATCCTTGTAAATGCTTGTTCGCATCAGTCCAAAAACCTGAAAAACCCAAAGTGCTCCAAATTGTTCAGAATCTTCCTTGAACCGCCCTCTTCACTGCTCATTGTTGGATAAAAGCATATAAGTATACCGTTTGACTCCTGTATTTTAAAAAGTGTTAATATTGAAACAGCTTGTAATTTAGGTAAGTTAATTAAAAATACTTATGACAGAAACTGTATCTTTCGATGTGCTTGTACAGCATCTAGCACAGTGCCCAAAGACCCCAATATAACTAATTATTAATAACTTATAAGGCACATCTTTGGGTCAGGTAAGTAACAATATAAATAACTGTCTGAAAGAGCTTCAGATTTCCCTATCAATTTGCTGTAAAATAAGAAAAAGATAATTAGATTTAATATTTTCCATGAAAGATGGATACTTCGTAGACAGCAAAGATACATTTACATTTTTAAAGAGCTCCCTGATTATCCTCCATAGACAACACCTTTCCCCCACCTAAAACCCCTTCAAAATTACAAATGAATAAAAGATTAAAGACTGCCAGATGATACACATGCATATTGGGAGTTCCCCCCCACACACACCATAATGTGCTATTCTTTGATTGAGTAGTTTGTTTTTTTAATTGCAATTTCTATCTTTAACAAGATGCACTGAAACTTCAGTTGCTGAAGTAAAGCAAAACTGAAGTCTTCACATTTACTATGATTCTCAACAGAAGGGATAGCTTTAAAAAACAAACACCAACACATACTTTTTGCTGCAGTTCTTTCACAGCATGGTCTCTATCCATGCATGCCTGTCGAAAGGCTTCATAAGCTTTATTAAGCTGCTCTCCAATATTTTTATCCATACTTCCCAGCGCTGTCTCATCACTGAAAAGATGGACAAATTAACAGACCTGAAAAGTGATCAGAAAGAAAAGGATAGTTAATTAACAAAGGTAAATTTGAGAGACAAGGTGGGTGAGGGTAATATCTTTTATTGGATCAACTTCTGTTGGTGAAAGAGACAAGCTGTCGAGCTACACAGAGCTGTTTTTCAGACCTAGAAAAGGTACTGTCACAGCTAAAGACAAGGTGGAACAGATTGTTTAACATAGGTAGTTAGCACATATTCCAAAAAGGGACCATGCAAGGTGGAGTGTCCCGTTAACACCTCTGCAGTGATACAACCTCTGCAGTGATTACACTAATTACAGATTAGTGTAATAAACCATAAATCCAGTGTCTCTGTTCAGTCCACAATTTTTAGTGCCTAGCAGAGTTATGAATTTAAACTCCCAGGCTCATCTTTTGAAAGTGTTGTGCAGGTTTGAGGATGAGGACTGATAGATCACTTTATATCTGACTTCTTCTTTGTGAAAAGTGTTCACCCACAGGTGATGGCGTGTTTGTGTCTTTTATCGTTTTCCTGTGCGACAATCACTACGCTCTCAAATGAACTCACACGGAAAAGTGAAAAAAAAGACATCACTTGTGGGTGAACACTTTTCACAAAGCCATCACTCTGTATCTGACCTCTCAGTCCTCATTCCCAAACGAAACCTGCACAACATGTTCAAAAGACAAGCCTGGGAACTTAAATTCCTAACTCTGCTAGGTACTAACAAAGACACTGGATTTATGGTTTATTAGACTAATCTGTAACCAACTAACCCCCCCTTTCCCCCATTTTGTCCCATCACTGCACAGGTGTTAACAGCACATATTCAAGGTAGAGAGTGGTCCAACTACTTATGCTAATCAATCTGTTCCACCTTGTATTATTAAACTGTGACACTCAGAGTACCTTTCCCAGACCTGAAGAAAAGCTCTGTGTAGCTTGAAAGCTTGTCTCTCTCGTCCACAGAAGTTGGTGCAATAAAAGTTATTACCCCACTCACCTTATCCCTCTAATATCCTGGGACCAACACTGCATACAAAAGGTAAATTTGTAATTTTATCATGTCACGTAACAACGTGCATCAATATCAGACACTTAAAACAATCAAGTACATGGGACAAATTATCAAAATCACCCAGTGTTATGTACTATGGTCCTGCCCATGCAAACACTTAGGGCCTGAAGCATGGGCCTGAATCAAGGCTTAATGAAGTCAGTTTGGCTTTGGTTCAAGCTATATATGCACATGCATAGTTCCACTGTGTTATGCATGTTTAAGTGTTTGCAAGACTGAGTCTGATTGTTGTATATCATCAGCTTTCTGATCTGAACACACAAGTGTTGAGCTTAATGATTATTCGACTGTCCAAAACACCAGAAAGTTTTCTATTATGGAACAGAACATAAATAAATAAAAGTCACCAAGTAAACAATGGACACATCCCTTTCCTGTCATATCTAAGAATGCCAATATAAGAAACACTACAATGAATTTCAGAACACCTTTTATCTACAGGTTAACAATACCAAGCAGTGAAAACTAGCAAAAACCTAGGACCTGCTGTATTAATTTAGATGGAATAAGTGGGTCAGAGATGTTAACATTCAATGGTGTTAAACGAGGGCCAGGGTTGGGTGTACAGAGATCTGTCTTCTTAATACCATGACAAAAATATTGACTTTTTTAACCATTTATTAAAGATACAGAAAAGTAAAAACAGTTAAAGCATTTGAAGTGTAAAATATTAAGTAAGGCTTTTATTTTAACAACATTCTTGTTCCCTTTAGCTGGAGAGAGCGTTAGAAGAAAAGAGTCCCTTGTTTGACAGTCTTTTAGAAGGTATTAAATATTGTACTAATTGTCTTTTTGGGTAAAAGGGAAGTTAGTTGGCATAAGCTGGAGCTGTTGCTGCTGCTGCTAAAATCCAATCCGGTTTCATTTCAGGTGGTGTTTGGGATTCAGCTGGAGCTGGTCATGACATCCCTCAGGATTAAGATAAAGAAGATCTGGGGTCCCAGGTGATGTGGGGTGGGGAGAAGGGAAGGGAGCAGTAGCTGCCACGATGGGGAAACTTGTTCCAGTAGCCTCCACTTGTTCCTTGCCCCATTTTATTTAAGGGCTTAAAAAGGGTGTGATGGGTGGAATAGCCCATCTCCTCATTATATGTCAACCACTTAGGTCTAATATGACACAGCAGTTTTGGCTTATTAATTTCCAGACTTGTATTTCCTTGCTTACTAAATCTGACTTAACAGTCTGACTTTATTATTAAGCTTTGTTGTTTGCACTAATCTAGTTTTTACTGTTGGTCTTCTTGCACCTGTTTTTAATCAACATTCTTTATTGAAAATAACCATCTACTTTCCATGGTAAATTCCTAAGCAGGCAAAAGATAGGTCTGTTGTGACAATTGGTCATCTTTCTCCATATGTTGGGATGTGTAACAGGAAGGGCTGGAGGGCCGGGGGTTAGACAACTCTGATTACTTTAAAGAGGCACACCTGAGAGGAATCAAGTGATCTCCCCTACAAACAGTAGCTGGAGGCTGCAGTTTGTTCAGGGATGAGAGACTACTAGGAGTGAGCAGGTGTAAACAGCAGATTGGGACTAAGACTCCAGGTAGGGCTTCATAGTGGCCTACCAAACCAGGAAAGGCCTGGGAAGAGTAACAGAAACATATGTTTGGTAGAGTTTGAGTTTTATTTTGAGTTAATCTTCTAACCCAGACCCCCAGGAGGAGTATTTTGACCATAAAAGAAGTGTATGTAATGGACCCTGAAGAGGGGACAACAGAGGCAGGGTACTACAGAGTGACCTCTGGCCATAAGGGGGTACTCTGGAGGCACCCAATTCTGTTACAATATATAAACATAAATCCTGTATGTAATGAATATCTCCAATTCCAATTCTTAGAGCCGGAAATCAGTGACCCCTCCTCCCCCAAACACAACAGTCCCCAGGACACAACTATGACAGACTTCTATTTCAAACTGAATGAAACAAAATGCTATAAGTCTTTTGCTTAGACATCATCAGAGGAAAACTTATGTTCCTGAAGCTTGTGGCAGAATCTGGATATAGTCCTAGACAGGGTGAGCCAGGAAAAGGGGAACAGGGATGTGCATCTTCCCACTGCTGGACAGTTGGTGGGAATCCACCAAAAACTGCAACTTGAAGTGGTTAGTGTTTTTTTGGGGTTTCTTTTGTGGTATGCCCTCCATGCAGTGGAACCTCAATAAGGGGGTGGTGGTTTTAGAGGCAGTGGTGGAATCTTTGCCGTGAGACTCCATTTGAGCAGCACAGTAGGCCTCTACAGGGATGCCCCTGGCTAGGGGAGATCCTCAAAACCATAGGATCTGATTGTTAGGCCAGTTGTGTCTGCCACTAAATTCATGTTAAAGAGGTGGCTGGAATGACAGCTATTGCTATGGGAATTATGACACGAAAATTAAAACTTAGCTTCAAATGAATTAGAAATCAGAAGATGCACCTGAGTCACTGTTCATTGTTTCTCTCTAAAGACAGTTTATAATCAGAACAGCCACATTCAGCACGACCACGATTTAACAGTGTTTCTGCCACTACAGCACTTTTCTAACATTCTTTTTAGGTGTTAAAGAGTGAGCTTAGGCAAACTTTAAATGAAACTTCAGTTCAGTAACGCGGAAGCGAAAATATTATTGAAGATCACAATCCCTGCTACATCAAAGCAATTATGCTCCTGGTAAGCTTCAAAGCAAGGAGATTCATGGGGAGATAAGGCAGAATACACAAGGTAATCTTTCATACTAGAAATGTTTCAAACACAATTTATGCTTTATATAAGGCTTTTATTAGGGAAAATAATCAAGTTCCTGATCTTCCTAATAAAAGAATAGAAAACAGTCTGCTTTTACAGATGTGAAACTAGTAAGATAAGAGGAAGGTGTCAGTATGGGAATTTTTAGTGACGTATGACTTCAGGTCCATATTTAAAGCTATGCTACCAGGGAAAGAAAACAGTATATTTAAATAAATGGAATGTGATACTAGTTTAAAAATGTACGAGTTAGCAGGCTGAAAAGGAGACATATGCTTTGGCCATCTATATTCTTGTGTTTATGTACACAAGACCTGAAAAGGGAGGGTGCAACATGCATGCGACTGTGATAATGAGATACCCACAATTCTGTGATTATTCGTTGGTAAGCTACCAGCAACAAAGTGGACAGTTTAATTAGTGCTGTAGTCCTTTATGGGGGAATGCTAGTAGACTTATCAGGAAAGGAATTAAGTACAAGGAGATGTACTTAATGGGACCAAATTTTCCAAAAGGGCTCAGCGCACACAAGTGGATCAGATTTTCAAAAAAAAGCTCAGCTCCCACTTAGACAACTAAGTAAAGTGGCCAAACTTTCAAAAGCAATCAGCCAGTCTCCTTGTTCTTAATAAGACATGCTGGGTTTTGAATGCTTTAAGACTGGCACAATTGTGGGTGCTGAGCCCTTCTGAAAATTCTGGCCATATAAGCTAAGGCCTCAGTTGGTGTAAACTGGCATAGCTCCCTTAACTTAAGAAGAACCACAGTGATTTACACCAGCCAAAGAACTTGGCTCAGCATTTTTAAGACAGTTATATTTGTGTCCTATCAGCTCTGAGAGTCACTCTAACGATGTATGTAAATAACATTTCATTACAAATATGCTAACAGGTACAAAACACAGTGTGTGTGTTTGTATCAGAGAAAGGAAATACACATTACATAGCATTTATGATAGCTCTCTCTTCACATTGCAATATGACCTATGGTTGTGGTTGCTTCAGCTACCATAAGGTCAAGGTAGGTCAGTACTTACATAGAAGATAGGAAAAACCCAGGCGTTGGTGATTCAGAAGGTGGCACTACTGCTTCTGAGTCAGTAAATTAACCATTCCCCCAGTATGGTAGTCAGATGTTACACAATTTTTGTATTGATATAATTACTTAATTCAGGGGTGTGATCTTTTACTGAAATAGTTCTCAGTCGACA